ACTCTAACGTTCGGTGTTAGAAATGGATGTAGCAATTCAATGTTGGAGATTAAATTAAAATCACCTCAAGTCATGTGCTACATGACAATTCATCTTATTCAATTACGTACAATAATTCATTCGACCTTTTTGTTGTTGGTGAGAGTTGAGATTTTTTACCACGGGGCACCAATTAATTCCTCTATTCTATTTTCTTTCTTCTTATTTATGTCTTTATTTTTATCCACGTGGATCCAGCTGAGAAACCACCCCGACCAACCCACACAGATCAATTATTTAACTATTAGGGAGCAAACACGTGTTGTCTAGAATGCTATTCAGCCGTTTGTCCTAAAAAAAAAGTCCTTTTAAATATGAATAATGTAAGTACTTTTATATTATTAACATTAAATTTGACACTGATAGATTTTTATACATTGATTTTAACAATATTTTACATAATTAATTGCTCGGGTTTTGACACATAATGGAGTGTCAAACTTGTGGTACACTGTGTTTAACTCTTTATATTCGGTACATTTTGTCTTGATCTCATTAAGGGCCACCAAATTCAATATTATTGTACTTTTTCAATTTAATGTATATGGATAGAAATAAGCAAGAAGTCACATCGGGTAATTGTGTTGTATGTGGGGTAGTTTGGAGGCGGGAGAATTACGATTGCGATCCAACTCTAATCTTCGAAGGTGCTCGAAAAATCAAGAATAAAAGTCGAGAAGAAGATGATGTGAGTGTAATTAAAGAAAATAATTATTAACAAAAAGTAGGATGATTATTAAATTAATGCCGACGAGTTTATTAATTAAAACAAGGAAAAGAATAACGTATTTAAATTATTATAAGTCACAAAATAAGACGATTATTAAATTAGTGCCTAAGTAAAAAAAAAATAAAAATGAAATTATAGAAAAGTGTGTCTAGGAATCAGAGATAATTGAGCAAAAATGTTTACAATTAAGAGGACAAGTCTTGGACAAACAAAGGTCAAATTTGTCGGACAACAAACATTTTTCTCTCCAAACTATGCTAAGAAAAATCCATACTCCACACCCTCACCTCGTGCAATCTTGGGACTGTCAATGGATCAACAACCGTAAACTATTATTATATTATAATTTCTCTTTTTTTTTCCTTATTTTTTACACATTTTTCTGTTAAGACATATTTGGATGTGGGATTATACAAGATATAAACTTATAATTGATAAGAACTTATTTCTTTTATTTAAACTTACTTTGATGAAAGGAAAAACTTAAAACATATTTAATATATTATGATTAAAGAAAAGAAGTGGACCTTGTATATATGTTGTCACGTGAAAGTTTTTTACGTACTAAACCACGTACTTAGAGTATGTTTGAGCCCCCTTTTTTCTTCACAAAAAAGTATTTTGAAATAGTGATTTGACGTAGAATGTGTGGTTAGAAAATAAGGAAAAGTTTTGAATTTTATGTGTAATATTATTATTATTATTTTTTTTATGTAAAACGCATTTTGGAATGATAAATTGATGGAGAATGTCTGGTTAAAAATGAAAGAATTTTTTTTTTGAGTTGTGTGTAATATTATTTTATTGAAAAATGTATAGTTGAAAAGAAGAGAAAGAAAAATATATTTAAAAAAAAGGGGATCAAACAAGGTTATATAAAAACATCATGCTAATATTTTATTTAAATTTAGGTATTTGTCACTTGCATTTTTCGATTGTTTTGTCTCGATTGGATGTACGTGCAATGAAATCTGCATTTAATGTCTCCCACCCAATGTTTACCATGCATTGAGAATGTGCATATTGTCTAAATGAATATATTTATATATATAGCTATATTTTTTAATTTCCTCAATCCCAATAAGATTTTGTTGGATTAGTTCAAGACTGTTCTTCAAATACGGTCAATGTTCAGATAGCACAATGAATTATTTATCTTGAGATCAACATAATTAGTTTAAAATTAAAGTATGTGAGACTCGAGAATATAAAAAATTGCAGCTGCCATTTTGTACTTTTGCACTCTTGTCTTCGACTTTCATTTCTTGGGGACGCAATCGAAATGAAGGTTAGAAACGAAAGTGTAGAATGATGTAAAAATTGAGAACGATGGTTGTAATTTTCTCTTATCAATGTCGTCGTCTTTTGACTACTCAAGAAACGTGGAAAAACATCCAAACAATCTCCCGAAAAATATTTGCGATGAATTTGACATTTGGTTAAACTTACGCTCTCCTCTTGAAATTGATTAGAGAAAAAAATACAGTTAGGCTACTTTAATTGCTAGACTAGAAAGCTCAAACTTTTAACGCCTAGTTATAGGCTATAAACAGGTTTGAATGATTCAAGATCTGAGTAAGAGTTGCCAGTGTAAATGTTGTTTATGATCACATTGGTAGTCATAAGAACCCAATATTATTTAATTTTATGCAGTCTAGCCCAAGAATAAGTACAAATATGTCATTAGAGGTCTAGTTTCAACTCGAGCACGAGCCTTTGTGGACGTGAACAATGTCTTAAAATTCAAGGATAAAATTTATGGACTTCGAATATACACCTAAAGTTTGGCACAGAAGGACTCACATCTTGTACCAAAAGAAAAAGATAATACTCTTTCTTAGGTTAAGCTATTTCATCAATTTGTTAGGCATTATTCTACATTGACTAGGTACATAAGATTGCCCAGTCCCAACACGTAAGATCTGCCCGTTACTCTACGGTCCCTAAGCCCGCCCATATTGGGCGACATTCGAACCTTGAGACTAAACTGAGTACATAGTTCTAAGTTTTCTTAATTTTTTTTCAAGAAAAATTGAAATATGTTTAGTTCAGGAAGGTTTCAAATCGTTTAAGGCCAACCTAACCAATGTTACACCCGTCACTCCTAAATAATCTTCGTATTATTTTTGAAACAGCCTTGCAAAAAACTATGATTTTGTACTCTCTCTCATGTCCAGTTTGGTTCTTGAATTAACTTTTTGTACACCCAAAATGTTGTGTGTTGTAGAAAAATAAGGATAATCAAGAACAGTGAAGGACTATTTGAAATTGAACACAATATGTAATTTCAAGCAAATTTAGGTCTGAAAAACATTCTTAAATAAAGTCTAATTTTTAGTAACCATGTTTGTTTTAGTTTCAGATTTAGAAAAGAATCCCAGACATTCGTATTGTCTCCATTCTATTGCCCTTTTAAATCCAGCCTCTTACTCCAAAATTTCATAACTTCACAAAATAGCTACCTATAAATGAAATATTATGGAGCCCACCATTGGATGAAGCTTTCAGTCCATTCAAGCTCTATCTCTAGGATGTGAAAGAAGAGGGATCTAGATGCAAACAGTAGGGCCAAGAGAGTGGTGTGGTTAGCCATGCTGTTCAGTGATTGGAACCAAAGGTCTTCCAGCATTTATGTTAGTTTGTTACAAACAAATCCAAGGAATTAAAAAAGAAGAATTTTCATCTACAGTTTTTTTTTTACAATCATTAATTGTTGAGTTAACTGGCATACAATGTTATGTTGATCGTCAAAAGCATACAAGTCCCTGTTTGACAATCATTATTCGAAAATTATTTTTTCTACTTACTCTAAAACTTTTTCCTACTTATTAATCACACATTCTCCTAAAATTCACTATTCAAACCATTGTTTTTCTCGAATAATGGTTGTCAAATTGATTTTAACATTTATATAACATGCACAATTTTAATAATTAAAATTATCTTAAATAGTGATATATGTACTTGAAAGTTGAAATTCTGGTTAAAGGAAAGTAGGAGATTTGTATAATTGCTTGATAGTTATTACAGTGGAATTAATAAAGCCAATGGTGCGTTTTTAATTGTCATTGGACAAAAGAAGCGAAGAAACAACTATACATGCGTACATACAGAAAACCACAGCTAGAGGGGGAGGGGGTGACGACTGAACAGTAGCCTTGATGTGCATGCAAAAACAAGACTATGAAATGTGAACAGAGAATGAGCAGTGAAGGGTACAGTGCCAACCCGACCAGAGCTCACCCATCAATGCATTTTGCCGGTATGTAATGGAGATTCAAACTATTTGCTTCCCAAGAAACACCAAAATACATACATATATACCCCTACCCCACCCCCACGGTGTTGTATGTATATGCATGTCTATCTCTCTCTTTTACAGTTGTTTGGAGTGGTAAAATGGGAGACAACTCCTAACCCTAAATTCCTTACCTTATCTTGGTCCATTCTCATTTATAAATGGATCATAGGTGAAATTAGATTTATTTAGTTGTACATTTGTCACTGTTCAAAAGGGACTTCTTGTTGTTTCAAAATCCTTACTCTCTTGTTCACAATTGACAAGTGATATCTTGTCTCTCCTTTTTTTTATTCACTAGGGTTTTTACTTTATTTCTGTGTCATTTTCTTTAGCACCCATAGTCCTTCCCACTAGTTTAAATTTGGTGTTTTTGTTCAGTCTTTACCTTTTCAACTTTCTCTAGTCAGTTGTATTCTTGTTTTAGCCCCTCTCTCTCTATAATCACTTATTTTTCTACCCTTCATCATGACTGATCCCTACCCTAATTATTTGAATGGAGGATGGTTCAATCTCCAGTACCCTAATAATCACTTGTTTTCTTCCACTTATCCTTACAATCTTAATTATTCCACAAGTTTTAACAACATTTCTGTGTCCCAATCCTCGCCCCCATCTCCACCAATCAGAGAAGCTCTTCCACTACTGAGTTTAAGCCCAACAAAGAGAAGTACAGTTCAAGAACAAGATTCATCATCTTGCAGTACTGCAATGGAAATGGACAAGATCATGACCAAGAACGTCAATGAAGAAAGTTTTATGATGGATGCTGATGATGAAACTGTAACTGTTGATTTGAATTTAGGGCTTCCTACACCAGATGCAGCTGATCTGATCTCAGGGCTTTCGTCTTCTTCAAGCACCAACAAGGATCAAGAAGTTACTGTGGCTAATGGATATGGCACTAGCCCTATTAACAAGGGTCAGTATTGGATCCCAACCCCGGCCCAGATTTTGATTGGCCCTACTCAGTTTTCATGCCCTCTTTGCTACAAGACCTTCAATAGATACAATAACATGCAGGTATGTTAGTTTATGATACTAAAAGATCTAACTTTTTTCTTAATTTAACCTCTCCTTTGCCTTTATGTTTTCCCTTTTGATTTTGCAGAAAAAGAGGAAACCCATCCCTCTCTTTATTTTGTACACATCTTTTCTAGTATAATTTCAACCTTTCACTTTTTGTTTTGTTGGATAGATAGGATCATCAGTGATTAGATGGGTCCTTAAGGGTTAATTTTCAACAATTCTCTTCAACATTTCACCTTAATATTTTTTTTCTCAATTGTTAATTTCTTCTTTTTCCTTTTCTCTTTTTTTAATGCATGACTCGAGGGTTTTTTGGGATCTGTATAAATCTACCTTGTCGAATTGAGAACTGGTCAGTGCCTCTCTTTATTTGATTGAACAACACAAACATTATGCTTTTTGTCCTTGAAGTTTGTATTTCACACATTGGTAGGTGTGTCAAACTGAACATTTTCCAGTTTATTTCTTCCTGGGTTCAGATTATTTTCATCAAAGATCAGGAATAAGAAAAGGTTTCTCAATCTGAACACTCAACCTTATTACAACAAAATCCAGCTCAAAATACATTGAAAATCCCACACTTTTGTTGCTTATGTGCTATCAAGATTCAAAAAATTTTATACTGATGAAAACATGAAAACCCCACACATTACCTTTGCTTTCTTTGTGAATCGGAAGCTCAGTAGCTCAAACCAGCGTTCTTCAGTTCTTTAGTTTCAATGTGACAAACAAAATCTAAATACAAAAAAAATTGCTACATTTATGAAAGTATGAACACCTTCAGATATGTTATTTTCATTTTGGATGCATGTTTAGTATTGCCAAGAGGCTTCTTGATAACCTCCTTTGGCACTTTTTTAAGGTGGATTAAGCAATACTTAACAGTATTAAAATGAAAAAAAAAAAGGCTTAAATCTTATTAGTAGCAATGCTGAATGTTAATATGTAGTTTAAGTATACAACTAATATTTCAAAGCATATTTTTATGTACTTCGAGACTCACAAGAATGATATGACTCAATGGAGAAAGAATTAGATGCTAGATAATGCATTTAAGTTTTTAATTTACTTTACAAACACTGTGACATTAATATATCTGATAGTTCGTGATTTTTTAGAGGATTAATTATGATTAATTCTTCCCTTTTGGAATATTTTCACTTAGATGCATATGTGGGGGCATGGATCTCAGTATAGAAAAGGACCAGAATCTCTAAGGGGTATACAGCCAACAGCTATGCTTAGGCTCCCCTGCTATTGCTGTGCACCAGATTGCAGGAACAACATTGATCACCCAAGAGCAAAACCCCTCAAAGATTTCAGGACCCTTCAAACTCACTACAAAAGAAAGCATGGGATTAAGGCATTTATGTGCAGGAAATGTGGAAAAGCCTTTGCTGTGAGGGGTGATTGGAGAACCCATGAGAAGAATTGTGGGAAATTATGGTATTGCACTTGTGGCTCTGATTTTAAGCATAAAAGGTCTCTTAAGGATCATATCAAGGCATTTGGCAATGGCCATGCGGCTTATGGTTTTGATTGCTTTGAAGAAGAGGATGAACCAGCATCTGAAATTGAGCAAGACAATGAGTCCTCTCAGTAACTTATTATTATTTGGTCATTTAAAGGTGGTTGAGTTCTAGGTCTAAGTTGGATGGAAATGTGCATGAGAATCAGTTTGAAAAGCATATTTCTTAATTTTCTTTGTTAGCAATTTCTTATGTTGTTGTTCCAAGGTCTATTATCAACTGATGAATAAGCAGTTTGTTAAGAACACTTTGCCTTTTTAACACTTATGTCACTGTTTGTTTATATCTATTTCTTTTCCATTTTCTAATTCTAATTTGGCAGTTTGATCAATTCAAATTATGGATGAAGATGAAATATATTTATGACATTTCCAATGAGAAAAATGATTTCAATTCTTTCAAGGAGGGAAAGTACTTTGAAGGATTATTTCTCTTTTTTCTTTATTGCTTTTCAATTTAAATTTTGGATATAACAATTAATAAAAGTGAGTTTTATTCCCAATAAAATTCATCATCTAGCAAGATGTTTGCACTGCAACTTGATCTATTGCTACATTTATCAAAACATCCAAATTTAAATTAAGGCTAAGCATAAAATTATTGATTAACGTAAATTCGAGAAAAAAGATTATTTTTTTATATAATATTTTTTTTTTTGACAGTATCCTACCAGATTTACATAACTTTGTCATTAAATATTTCATATAATGCAACATGAATTATTTTATAATAATAGTAGTTTATAAGTTAATCAGGTACCATTTTATTAATGTTCCTTGGATTTTATGAATTCATAATCGTAGCTAATAGCCTAATACTGCTTTCAAATAACATTAGTGCCTTCCCAAAAAGTTGGTGAAATAATTAAAAGGCTAATCTCTTCGCAGACAAAGGAGATTCAATTTCAGAAGAAATTGGGTGACAATTTTGGCTCTTGAAAGTGGTATAAATTTTATTAAACAGAGAATATACATATATAATCATATTATATATATACATACACACATAGTTATAGGTATATGAACACACACGAAACCATACAAATATACATGGTTCCAAAAATTTGTCTTGGAGCTAAGTCCGACATTTCTACTTTGTCACACTTTATGCTTTTCTAGTGTTAGACGAGTAAAAACCTGAAAAATGCTAAATGTACACGCACCTGACGCACGCCCCTCACAAGAGGGGGGGAGCCCAAGGTGATTAAAATAATTGTGGGCCCCCCTCTTGTGAGGGGGGCGTGTACACAGGAGTGTCAACTCCCGTGTACGTATAGTAAAGCTCTACAAATTTTATGACTTTTAGACTAGTCACACCGACACTGTTCACTTTTTGGCTCTTGAAAGTGGTATACATTTTATTAAACAAAAAATATACATATATAGTCATATTTTATATATACGTACACACATAGTTATAGGTATATAAACACACATGAAACCATACAAATATACATGGTCCCGAAAATTTGTCTTGGAGCTAAGTCTGACATTTTCACTTTGTCACACTTTATGCTTTTCTACTCTTAGGCGAGTAAAAACCTGAAAAATGCTAAATGTACACGCATGCCCCTCACAAGAGGGAGGGGGAGGGGGAGGGGGGAGCCCACGGTGATTAAAATAATTGTACGTGTAGCAAAGCTCTAAAAACTATGACTTTCCGACTAGTCACACCGACATCGTTCACTTTTTCGAAATCAAAAATTATTCTTAAATGTTTACCACACATCTTACTAGGAACTAGTGACAATTTCCAACTATTGTTTCCCTTGCAAAGATAGGTGTTCACCATGTACGGCCAAAAACACTTACTTTCTATCCAACATATATAAATAAACTAATGCGCACCTATTAGTGATTTTTGTTAATAGGTACAAAAATTATTTGAACTACATCAAAAGGTCATATGATCTCAAAAGGACTCTAATCATAAATTAATGAATCCTCTCCAAATAATTGAAAATATTAATATCCAATTACCAAAAAGAAGTTGTCCTATACTGCCTGGTAGAGTAACAAATAGCACAAACACACGTGTACATCACCTATAGCAATAAATCGCACAAAGAAAATAAAACATACAAAAATACACAAGATATACAGAAGTTCGATTCAATTTGAGACTAGACCCTCTTTCGTCGCTACAGTAATATCATTATTACGAAAAGAAGTTTACAAGAGAAAACTCGTACACCCTATTTTTTTTCTAAACTCTTTTTTCTTTATGATGATTACAAAATCAAATGACGGTTCCCCATTTATCATAAAAAAATAGAGCAAAAACAAAATTACAAGTGTAAAATTAGGTCGATCCTCATAAGGATTACGCACAATGACAATAATTAGACTTCACAGCTTAACAAACACGTACGAGTACTTGATGATGTTTGCAAGATTAATTACCGTTGAAATGTAACCGAAGAAAAAGGACTCTTCGACGAGAGGATCTTGGTGGCAGCTTTCCAATCGGTTGTTGGGACTACAGTAAGAAAGCAGGGGTTGGCGTAATGATGGGTCAAAAGGCTAATGAGATGTCATTTCAAAGTATATACTCGAAGACTGGAGGAAAACATTCAGGTGCATGTACAGTAGATATGGAAGTATAATCAGATTTTGTCATACATATAACGTAACATGACGAGAATTAGCCCCTTTGGTCCCATTATTCCAAAAAAAAATTATTCTACCCTTATTTTCAACTACAAAATATTTTATAAAATAATATTATACGTAAATCGAAAAATTTTCTTTCTTTTCCAACCACACATTCTCCAAAAAAATAATATTCCAAAAATTATAATTTCAAATAACGTGGCCAAATGGGGGCTTTAGTTACTTTGCCAGATGTATTAATGACATAAAATGATTGGATATAAAAGTTGATTGTTTTTAAAACAATTAGGAATGTCGTGTATAATTCTGCTAAGAAAAATGTCAAACTTTCCTAACAATATAAGATGGTTGAACATCGCAAATTCAACACTACCATTCACATTTCATATATATATATAAATTATACATATAACCTTTCATTATAGTTATGCTATGGGTCCTTGATAATGGGAACTGCACAAATTTTCTTTAAATTGTCACCTGATTTTCATTCTGATAATGGTAATTAAGACCATCCTAATCAATCAATCAATTTCTGAGATTAAACTAAATGCAAGAAAATATATTTTAAGTTCTCTCCCCCGACTCTTGGTTTATAGATTCATAAAAGCATTTTCACATTGAGAAACTATTTGATGAAAGCGTAGACAGATAGAAAGATAGCTCGATAGTTTTTGTTTCCATACAGAAGGCCCTTGTAGGAATTCATTAGAGATAGATTATCAACCAACAACGAAATTTAATGAAATTAAATTCAATTATATGAAAAAATCGTGTATAACAATAAGGTTTGATCGTGCATACTACAATTCCAAGGTGACGAGTGTCAAATCTTCCCGACAATGTTGAGTTTTTGAGAAAAGATTACTCTTTTATCATTAGAGTAACTTTTATTCATTGAACGACGTTCCTTTCATTTTCATCCATGCTCCAAGGGTGGGTCTTGTAGTCAGTTTCTTTCTACCTTTTTGAATAAATGGTCATGTCCTTCCAACCCAAAGCTGCCACAAGCTCATTTAATTTTTCATAGGTAATTCCTATATACGAGACCAGTGCAAAAAAAAAAAAGGAATGTCCTCCCGTAACTCCATCCTTGGTCCAGGCTTGGAAAATTTTTGCACGCCTCCGTTACCTTGATTGCAGATCCCACTACAAAAAGCACTACAATTGGTTTTTCAATGTTGTTTAGTACTAAACTAACCCCTATGTCAGATCGAGGGATTATTGAATGTCAACCATCCTTGATCCTTTATTGAGTTGTCTTGACTATTTTAAAACCCTTGCTGATTTGGTAGCTTGAGAAAGATCAATCACAAATTTTGATTTATGAGTCTATACCTATAGCGATATTTGGTGAAACAATTCTCATTAAAACATTTGAACACCATATACATCAAACTGAGAAGCAAAACTTAACTTCATATATAAAGTTGGACACACGAGAATAACACGATGTTTTAACACAAATTTAGACAGTTTCTATCGTCGAGGGCTGATTATGTAATAAGACGTTGGCAGCCAACTTGTCACATAACGAGACAATAGGTTGTGGAGCATTGATGGAGTTTTCCCATATGTGAGTGTCTATAATAGCAAGGTATGGGAGTGATTTAATATTCGTACAAGTTGATTTAATAGTACAGTAAGAAATGGGCTTCAGTATTCAACTGTTTTGAGGATTTAAGCATGCAGTGCATCATTGTATCATCTGTCACCACCTGCTTTCTTTATGGAGTTCCTTTTCTTTAGCTAATAAAATAGTAGATTTAATTATTTATCAGAATCTACTGTAACCTATATTGTTTCTTATTGTTGGATATACCAGGTATAATGAACATGTTTCAGATCATTTATTTTACAACGACATTAGTTGTTAATTTTAATACTATTGTTCTACAGTGTTTCTATTGCAGTTTTTATTCTCTCTTAAAAATCATACTGTTGAGTTTCGAACATGTGACCTGCCTATTAAATGTGCTTCCAACAATTTTCTGTTAAAGTCGTGTTTCTGACATTGACACTTTTACTAATTGGAGACTAAGGCTGGATTGTTGACACTTGGCATTGCACTCACCGTTGGATGTGATTCTAGAGGCTTCTACTCTTTATCTTCCATGAGACGCATTTTGGGGATTCATTCATTTCACTCTTCTAACTTTTGCTCTCGCTTCTGTTCTCTTTCCTTTAGAGAGAATAACCTCATTCTTACATAGGGTTTACATTCTTGAGTAATTGAATCGAGTAAACTGTATATTCTCTTAGATCTACTTCTGATTGTTGTGAAGTTAGGATTCTTTGAGTGATTTGAGTGCTGAATCTTTTGTGATTCGAGCAGTTTGTGAGGTGTTAAACAGAACTTTATGATCTGGCCTATTTTGTGTCTTAAGGGTGTTCGATCCAAAGGCTTGTGTAAAGATAAGTATGTGGCCTTTTGTCTTATATTGTTGAACTGATTGTAACTGTTGGTTGCCATATTTTGGCTATTTAGTACAATCGAGCAATATCCATTATTTGGATGCTCAACAGGGGATGTAGGCGTTAGATCCGGTCGCTGAACCTCCGAGGCTTAGGCCAAAACATATCTTGTGTTCATTTTAATTTCTGCAACTTTTACTTTCTGTTCTGAGATTGATTCTTTGATATATTGTTTTTAATATCGTGTGGTTTGGGCCTTTTCACATACATTTTAGCAATGTTTTAAAAACGTAATACATGATGATATATGAAGGTCAAGCTTCGGGCAAGGCGAGGCCTAAGCATAAAAAAAATAAGAAAGTTTAAATCTTATCTAACTATTTATCAGATTTCAATTCAATATCATCTTCTTCATCTAATTCATCTTTCGTATCGTCTGATACAAAATCAGCCTTTAAAGAATTGTGAAAGAAAAATAAAAAAATAATATACTTGTAATAATGTGCGCCTTAAGCGTTCAATGCCATCGTTGACCGTTTATTTAGCGCTTAGGCCACAACCTCGACGTGGCGAAAACGCCATGTCTCGTGCATTGGCGACGCTTAAGCATCGCCTATGCACGCCATTTTGAACAACACATTCTAGGAGTGGACATACTTCAGTTTGGTCTCTTTTTTATTAGAACAGCAAAACTAAATATTGTTGAAATTCTACCACATGGAACAAGTTATAGAATTAAACAAAACCAAACCAAACCAAACTAGAATTGAACCGACTGTTTCATTCCGATTCAAGTGGCTCTAATTAACAATCTTACAATCTCTAAAAATATCCAGCTATAATAACGTTTCGGATATCCACATTTATTGGTTGACTATTTTAAATTTTTAGATATTTATATTCGATTATTATTGTTGAAAGAGGAGGTAACACACTGAAATAAACCAGTCGTACGCAAGTTAGGTCATTAAATATTAAGAAGACCATGCAAGTGTATGAATATCAAATATGATAGACAGATATTAATAAATTAAATAACTAAAGTCCGCCTGATAAAACTTCTATTTTTACTTATGCTTCTTGTGGGATAATAATCCAAATGATTACTGAACTTTACAAAAGGTTTTCATGGGGTCGTTGAACTTTAAAAATCACCACATTTATCTCTAAACTTTGCAATTTGTAATCCCGTTTATCACTGATCTCACGGTCCGTAAAAAAATTGACGGAATGCTGATGTGGCTGCATATATGGCAGTATGTCTCAGCTGGTTTGGCATTCACGTATGCAGCCACGTGAGGTTAGTAATGAATGGGATTATAAAATTGTAAAGTTTAACAATGAATTTGGTGATTTTTAAAATTCAGTGACCCCGTTGAAATTTTTTGCAAAGTTCAGTAACTATTTAGGTCATTATCCACATATTCTACAATAAAATAATATTACATATAAACTCAAAATTTTTTATTATTTTTTAGTCATATATTTTCCAAAAAATTACTATTCCAGAATATATTTTTTCATTCTCTCCACCAAAAGGAAAATGTCTTGGAAAAATTAACAAGAAGAAAAAATACATGACTAAATATTAATCATTTTCTACTACTCATTCTCCAAAAAAATCAATATTCGAAAACTCATTTTTCAAGACCTTTTTTATTTTTTTGGTAGAGAGAAGGGAAAAATGTATTTTGAATTAGTGATTTTTTTTAGGGTGTGTGGTTGAAAAATAAAGAATTTTTTTGAGTGTACGTGTAATATTATTTTTATTGGAAAATGTGTGAATAATAACCCAAATGATCATTGAACTTTGCAAAAAATTTCTATAGGGCCACATCAGCATTCCGTCATTTTTTTACAGACCGTGAGGTCAGTGATGAAAGGAATTAAAAATTGCAATAATAATAAATTTGGTGATTTTTAAAATTTAGTGATTTCGTGGAAACCTTTTGCAAATATCAGTAATAATTTGGATTATTGTCCCGCTTCTTGTAGAAGAATTTTATGAGAAATTTTTTAAAGATTAGCTTCCCTTAAAAACTTTTATAACTACATAAAGCACTTCCAATTGCGAACGCAAGGGGTGGCATGTGATCACGTGACCCTACAACTTTTGGGTACTTTTTGGGTTATTACGGGATATCAAACGGAGTTGAAATATTGCATTCTTAATACTATTTTGAAGTGTTCACTGCCCAATTTTCCAAGTCTTTAATAGCTCGCAAAAGGTCAATCGTAGCAAATATTGCGTCTCGTCAAATTATATCGTTCTAAACTAGTATTTAAAGAATTTCGATAATATGCTAATTTTAAAAAATTTTCGACGATCGTACGCTAATCGAATCCACAAATCACCTATATCATCTCGAAATTCTTTTTGAGAACTACATCATAGACATATCGAAAGGTCCAAATGGATATAAAAAATAGTTAAATGTTCATCAAATGTACATTTAAAAAAAGCTTATAATTCGTCTTTTATTTAAAAAAATTTCAATTATTTCATTAATGTTTATGGTTTATGCGGAACAAATTTCTCAATATAATTTATATCAGTTTATTATGAAATTTTACATCGCATATATAAGTCATATGCCATGTATATTTTCAGATGTAAATTTATATGGAGTATGACTTTTTCGGATGTAAAATTCCACACTTCTTTGTAATTTTAATTGTGTCCCTCTAATTCAAAATGTTTGCATTCACCACTCGTAATAACTTAGTGCTTGTTTGAAATTTTATCAATCTTTCAACTGGTTAAATTTTAATCTTAATATATTTTTCATGAGACTCACGACTTTCATCAACCTTTCGATCACATTTCATCAATTTTTATCAAAACCTGCTAAAATCATTGTAAAAGCTTTGTCATAAAGCCCCTTAGTATACACGTTACTTTTTAGTCATAATTGTTCCTCAAAGTTGAAAGGAATTTAGAAAAGGCCCTTATCTTTTCCTGAAAAGAAATGTCTTAAATTCATGATGTGTACCATGTAGGTTCATTGAACTTTGCTTCCTTTTGTAGATGTATATGCAGAAGATAATTGCTTAATTTGAGAACTTTTTGTTTCTTTCATCCCTACTTTTATAAGCAGCAGCAGATCTAGCACCCAGCGAGCTCCAGCAGTCGCTCGTGTTGGATTCATCGATATTCAATTTTTTTTTTTGGGTCAATGCATTTATTGTTTGAATATATATTTGTGATTTCCATTTTTTCACAAAGGCTTCTATGGTTTTTGGTCTAAGTACCTTACCAATATACCGAAATCTTGGGTTCGCCTCTCAAATATATCATTTTTTTGGCAATTATTTTAGTTTAAAATTTATCACCATTTTGGAGCATATATGTATTACAAAAATTGCTGCAATTAGAGGATTCGAACCTGTGAACTCCGTTGGAATTATAAAACACTTGACCACTATGACATTTGTGACATTTTATGAAACAAAATGCTATATGTTCTTTGGTCAAATAATTGATATATTTCCCCATTGTTTTTAAATCTTTTTAACTAAAATTCGACCTGTTAAAAGTCATTTTTTTCTGTTAGACTGAAATTATTAACAAATCGAACAAAGAAAGTAAATCATTGGATCCATTTTTAAACTTCAAATTGTTATTCGATATACATTATTAGACTTGTAGATAACGTACAATCACATTTACAATTCGAACTATGATATAAGTAATTTTAGTTCACGACATTGGTTATTATTGCAACAATCAACGGTCAACGGCCGCTTCTACTCACTCAAAATCCTAAATCCGTCACTGATTATAAGTAATTATTTATAGCTCATTTTCCCATGTTGTCGTTAAGACTTTGTTTTAGCAAAATATGTATTAAACATGAAATATGCTAGTATTAGTTGTTTAATTTTAATATTATTGTTCTACTATGTTTCTTCTGCAGTTTTTATTTCTCAATATAATTTAGATCATTTTATTAGGAAACTTTACATCGGATAAATCATATGTCATGTATATTTTCAGATGTAAATTTACATGGAATATGACTTTTTCGGACATAAAATTCCTCATTTTTTTGGAATTTTAATTGTCTCTCTTTAACTCAAAATTTTTGCATTCTCCATTGAGCACTTTTAGAAAATAATGAATTTTTTTGTTTTTTTTGTTTTTAAAAACCATATTAATTTCAAAAAAAATAAAACGACTTTTCAGAAGTCCCACCGGGCCCTAATTGTGTTGGTGAAAGTACATATTGATGAATTTAATTTAAATAACTTGAGAGAGTATAAAAGTTTCTTAGCCAAAAATGGAATAATTGAGGAAAAAAGCGTCATTTGTCGAAAGTTAGAATTCCATACATTTTTAAAACGATATCAACAATCACGACAATTGGTTGAATCCCGTAAACCATTTCATATAAATGCGTTTAAGAACGAAGAAATAATACTCAATAATCAACCCATAGAATAAGAAGCAATAGTCATATCTTTCTGCATCTTAAACATGAAATGTGGGAATTACTTTATCCTTTTACACATACAAGGATTCAATCTTTAACAGGCCTTTGTCCAAAGTAGAACTTTGGTTTTTGGTATTGCTTTAGACTAAAGTAGAGACAGCATCAATTTGGAGATTTTGTCCCATGAGTTTTTACAGAAAATTGCAAAAACCCAAACGATCATACAATGCAATAGAGTAGTAAGATGCTCGACAAATCCATATCGTGATACCAAAATGCAATGCAGCCAAGAAATTGATAACAGACGAAACTTTCAATTGGCACAATAAAACGATTTTTAGTTATGTTACAATTTTATTTTACATGAAAACAGTTTTTCAATGTATCTCATAGGATCCTGTACTGCCTTTGTGAGCTGTGATGAATAGAGACAAAAGATATTAAAACAAGCCTTACTTCCCTCATTCCTATTGCACGTTTGGGCATGATGTGGTGCTTGTGCGCTATGGAATGCAGCAAGAGTGACGCCTACAGGCTTAAATCCTCTGGTAAGCTGATCTCAAGAAAATACAGGCTGCAAAATTAAGTAAAAAAAACGTATAATTTATTTTTTTCTTATTGTTCCTTTTGGAGATGGGGGCATAAGAGGAGTATATGCTAAAATAATAGAACAGAACTATAAAATGCTAACCATGGAAGCTGAAAATCAAAAGTTACCAAAGAATAAGCAAAAAAAAGATAGCAGTCTAGAAAGTGCTTGTTTGGTCGTGCTTTCAAGTGTTTATAAGTTGTGGGTTCTACGGAATGTGCAGATAATAAGTAGGTAGTAAGTTGTGGATCACACGAAAAGTGTGGATAAAACGTATGTTTGACCAATTTAAGCTTTTGCCAGGCATGCTCGTATGTTTCTATGTCCACTTTTCTTCATCAAAACTGAATCTTCAAACTTTCTTTGCTTTCTTCTTGCTTTTACAGTATTGGCAGCTTGGTGACAATTGCTTAAACACGCTTTAATTATAAGCAGTTAAAAAATACAATCTTTTTCCGGGTGCGGGTGGTTATGAAGCTAAAAATGTTTTTAGTTGAAGCTTCCAGTTAAACTAAAACTCAGTTTTCCTTCAGAAAAGCTTCAAGTATTTAGTCAAAAGTAATGTACCTAGCAGACATGAAAGCCATTCCAAAGAAAACAGCCTTGACAGCTTGCTTTTGTCCAGCATAATCAAACGCCAATGGCAGCATTTCGTGCAATGTTAGAAAAGCCATCACCCCACCAACTGGGAGCATCACAAAATCCATTAAAAAAAAAATCACAAGGATTAAACCGTAGAATCTCCTTTAGTCAGTTAATAAAGCTCAGGAAACATGTATACCTGATCCCAGCAGGCCCTCCAGAATTTCAGGACTTAAGCTGCTCGGGAATAGGTAAGCTGCAGATTATTTACAAGTATCAAAATTGAGATCAGAAAATTTTGGCATTTATTTAGCCCCTGTTTGACAACCATTATTTGAAAACTCATTTTTCTACGTACTTATTTTCAACCACACATACAATAAAATATTCTGTACGTAAAACCAAAACTTTTCCCTATTTTTTAACCGCACATTCTCCTAAAAATCATTATTCAAAACTTCGTTTTTTCAAAATAATGGTTGTCAAACAGGTGGCTTAATCTTCAATATATTTAGGTTTAAGTGCAGGGGACGGACCTACAATAATTACACCAAGAGGCTCAGCTAAGCCAGAAAGGGTTGCTAGCTTGAATGCTTGCCATTTGCTAAGATTAAAACACAAAAATACCATACACAAGGTGAATAAAAAAATTCAAAATCATGAAATAGCATTCACTTTTCTTTTCCTCAAGTCATGATACAAAGTGAAGTGGCTGGAATTTCATTACCAAGGCTTAATCATGCTTGATCTCCCACAGTTCAAAAGTCAAGAACTAAAACACAACTTAGCACGGACGAAAAATAGCTTTCATATGCTAGGTTCAGTTACTCTGCTTGAGTTGAAGTCTCTAAACGTGAACGTGTATACAAAAGAAACATATTTAAGTTATTATTTCAATCTATACCTTTCGGTAGCAAAATAAACAGGAAGTGCAACTGCAACCCCCTGAAAATTAGAAAATTCCAGATGTCAGGAAGAAAAGAAAACATTATGCCTACGTTTCCCAAAAGTGTGTAAAATGTGTACTCAAATGTGACATGTCACCATTTCTTTATTCATTGTAATACGCAGGAGAATTATGAAATATAGGTGTGTTTGATTGCAAATATAAAATTTGCATAGAAAGAAAATAAATTATAAGCAATTGAATTCCCAAGAACTTATTTGTATGAAAATTATTAATTAAATGTGTTTGATTGGTCTAGTTTTCAACCTAGAAAATATTATATTTATCCATTTTTTATTAGTGAATAGATGAGAGAGAGAGAGAGAGGGTGAATTGCCTTGAAAATGAAAAACTACACTTTCCTAAAGAACATGTTTTTCTTGTTTTTAAGGAAAATATGGTCGCATGACCAAAAGTTGAAAAAAAAATTCCATAGAAAAAAATGTCAATCAAATACCCTAAAAGTAGGAACTTGGGTGGAAAAAGAACAATTTTCATGGAAAATAAAGTCAATTAAACACACCCTAATTGTTTGCAAACATTTTTTTTTACTTACAAATCTTATAGGAGAAAAACAACCCAATTGATCCTTGGGTACAACTCCAACTAACTTTGAGACAGTATGATCGGTATTGAGGACCTCTAGTAACTCTACCTCACGAAAAGAACTTATTCTACGAGCATGCAAAAAACTAGTAACTCAACATCAAAAAACTTCTTGTGCTATTAATTTTTAAATAATTTGTGTATAGTTGGATCGGTCCACCAGTCAGTTTTTGGATCTTAGCAGAAAATATGCACAGCCCGGCAACTAATGAAACTAAAGAGCACGCAAGAAACAATTTGTGCTTGTGAATACATGAAATGTAAAACTAGTTGCTGTTGTTAAGTATACATAGGAAGAGATGTCAGTAAGAGATATCAATAAATGTCTTTTTAAGCTAAATTCTTTTGAAAGATTTACTATTTGTGCCCCATTCTCTAAAAACTCATTTTTTCCCAAACTCAATTTCAATCACACGTTCTCTCAATAAAATAATTTTGCACATAAATCCAAAACTTTTCCTTACTTTTTAACCACGGATTCTCCAAAAAATAACTATTACAAAACAATTTTTTTTTAAAAGGGGGCTCAAACAAGAGCCCTAACCCACCAAAATGTGGAGAGAGAAAAATCACGAAGTAATTTGGAGCAGTTCAGTGATTCCCTCATCATTACATTGTGTTTGAAAAGAACCCATGCATCTGTAGAGTTTGGCTTTATGGAATCTGCCCATATTGAAAATTTTCCCAAATTTTTATATCCCACAAGAAGTTCCCATTGAAAGCACAATGTAATCCAATTTCTGTATTCATGCAATAGACCTTACCAGAAAAAGAGAGTGAACAAAAAGATTTTTTATTTTTTTGTCGAAACCTAAGGAAATTGGAAGGTTGTCTATGATTTTTGTCAAAACCTAAACAGGCCCCGTCATAAAAGAAACTGGACCAAGATATATAAGGAATCAAAACCAATAAAAATGCCCTGCATCCACATGGCATCTAACTGCACTATCATTTATTCCATGTAAATATTTATGTATTCATACACATGTACCTTATGGAGAGAATTACATGTCATGATATAAATCAAAATCTTCATCATGCTGGAACAAGGACATTTAAAAAAACCATGACATCAACACAAAAGAACACTATTATTGGATATCTCGAAAATACCTCTGGAATGTTGTGTAAAGCAATAGCTAGTGCCAAGTTCAATCCGACTCGAAGACCCTGAGAGAGATGAACAAACAGGCAACTTGAGAGTTCATAGCTTAGTTAACATATGGTCTTTCGAAAGCAAAAGTCTAACAATCCTCTGATTAACAATCTTGTAGGAAAAGTGGCAAATAGAAGTTATGCCATGTGACATCTCTAAACCTCGTAATTCATTGAATTAAAGACTTTGCTTACATTTTCATTGAATATATGTTGGTGTCACAGGACTGATTAACAATATACACCAACATATGACCATTTTAAAGTTCAGAACTTCCATGGAGATGCATTTAATGAAAAACCTCAAAAAGGTCACTCTTCCCAGTTCTAAATATCAATCAGAAACCCAAAGTTGCATCTAAAATAATTTATGGATAGCGAGATACCTAACTAAGCCCTTCTACACTTGACTGTTAAAAAGTCGCATGCACTACACGTGAACACTGTTTGAGGGGTAAAAGAGGTACAAAAATAATTTTAATTTCACGTACAAAGACTAGAGGGACAGTATATATACCTTCATTGACCCAAGGAACACTGCCATTCCCTCAGGGAAATTGTGCAAGCTTATACCTGGGGAAAAAAATAGAATAGTAAAGAGTTTCAATCTGAGAGAAACATATCAACATGCATTGAAACTTCAAGCAGTAGGAATTACAACAAGGAATCTGCGTTGTAATTCAAGTGTCTAGTAGCCCTCTTTTTTCCTAACCCTGAAGTGAATGACAATTTTGATGACCAACACAACCAAACTTCATTTCAATAAATTTATCACAAGCCAGTAATAGGAAAAAGAAAATACACAATACTGCTTTAGCAATAAAGCTGCTACTCATACTAGTTTCTTTTAAATGTGAAATAAAAATAGCATGAGATTCAGTGTCAGTCAAGAGGAATGCCCAAGTATCCCAAGTGTTTTCATTCAGCAGTATTACCTTCAAAAGAAATGAAATAAGGAAACATATTAAATTTTTTCCTTGCATCAAAGTTGAACTTAATTAAGAATATAATATTGATATGGGCTGAGAAGTCAAAAATTAAATAACTATTTTAAGACACCGTTGAATTAGGACAGGTGAAAACCATGTCTTTTGGCAACAAGAATTGGGTATATTGGAATTTTTATTCTTGAAGAAAAGAATTCATTGAGATCAATAACAATCAAAAGGGCAACAAGAATTGGGCTCAATGGAACGTGTTGGAACCTACACTGTAAATAACAAGTTAGTTTTCAGATCAAGAGTTTTGAATAAATCAAAATGGGAATAGACGTAGAGAATAACTTAATGTGGAATGAGATGGCTACTTGCATCAAGAACCGAGCAAAAGTTGCATAGATATTTCCAGAAATAAATAATACTCAGTTCACAGAAATACACTATTTAACATTATAAAGCATTTGTCATCATCCATTTACATCTTATCAATCAAGTATATGACCTCATACCATATCATCAATAATGATGCATAATATGTTGAATAGCTGAGACCAGACTATTCAGTGAATGAGAACTTATACAAAGTCCAAATAGTAGTTTGAAAAGGACTGGGTTTTATAAAAGCCTATGATTACGAATCTAATTAAAAGTCAAAAGAACTCATCGAATCAATATAGCTGTATTCCATATTATTTATTTGGATAACACAGACCCAATTTTCTTATTATGCTATTTCTATCAAAGAGAATACAAGTTAGAAAGGCAACTTCTACCTATGGTTAATGAGTTGTTCTCTATGGAAGAGAGTAATAAAATATCCGTAAGATTAAAGTAGTGGAAAAGAGGAATGGTAAGATGGATGTTTAGCTACATTAAATGGATAAAACAAGAAATACAAATATATAAAATAAGTGGTGGTGGCAGCGATAAGGCATAAATTAAAGGAAAGACAACTTCTAGGTGACTGGCAATGTGTCTTGCATTAGGCTATAGAAACTCTGTTCATAAAAGTCATAAAATCCACAGTAGAATAGGTTAGAAGAGAGAGAGAGATCAAAATTAATATGGTCAGATACAGCCGAAAAAGTTCTAATTTCGTTGAATCTTTTCACAAATAAAGCAAGGACCAAATGGACTTGTGAATAAGCATTCACTTCAAATTTAATTGTTTTACTCCTTAGAAGGTGCAAGAACATGTACAGGCCTCACACAAGATTCCATGCAAATGGTATGTGGCCCAATCTTTCCAATTTCAGTATCCTAATTATAAAGAGACAATCAATTAACCCAAATGACATTTTCCCTTTGCTTAACTGTTTGAAACTATATTCCAACTGAATTCACAGTAATATCGCAACCAAGAGGATATTATTACTTATAATCTGGAGGAAGGAAAAAAATTAACACAACAGACTTACCTACAGCTGTGATGATTCCACTAAACAAGACTTGGCGGCGATGCTTTTTCATCATATCCTTGCCCCTTTCATCCCCATTTGTCTGTTGTCAAGCAAAAAATATTTTGTTCGAAATTTAACCGAAAACTATCAGTCTATCACTGCAGTAGCAAGCTTTAATGACATATCCACTCATTGACAGAAAAGCAACATTAAACCTTTTTTGTATTCACATCTGAAATGGGAGCAAGTGTTGGTTCAGGGATGAAATTAGCTATAATGGCAAAGAAAATGACCCCTGCAAAGAACTGTGAGGCCAACAGATCAGAAATTAACACTAAATAGTTTAATTGAATTTGACACGGAAAAAGGCGATGTAGCACAATATTTAGAAGATGCCTCACCCAGAGATTTCCCTTTAAGAAGCCAATGGAGTTAATGGCATTATGGGCCAAATCTAAGAAAGATATGCTCAACATGAGACCTGCAGCAAAACCCTGATTTTGAGGGATGCTGAAGTTAATTCTACATAGCCATTGAAACATGAAAAACAGAATTTATGAAGTTACGGGAACTTAAAAGATTGTCGATTGATGATCATATTTTAATTGGTATATGTCTATATAACTATCATTTAGAATAATGTAGTGCCTGAAACGTTTAGTGATTTCTTTTGTAAACTTTTGGTTCTAGGGGTCTCACAACCTAGAAGGAAAAACAAATTCCATTTGGACTTACCTGCAAAAGACCAAGCATCTTCAGATTTGGCGTCGGATTAATGACGACAAAAAATGCACCTGTTAAGAAACGCAATAAAAGCATAAGCAATGTTTTCTCAATCGGATTGCAGCGACTAATAAAAGGATGATTCTAATCTCAAAACTAGAAAAACCACGAGGCGTCATACTATTTTCTCAATCGGATTGCAGCGACTACTAAAAGGATGATTCTAATCTCGAAACTAGAATAACCACGAGGCGTCATACTATTGGCCATAAAAGGTATGCAGCCACATGTTGTTCCAGAAATACATCAAGATAATTCCAAAATTACAACTGCAAAAGATTGCAATGCTTGAAACTTGAAGCTAAAAGCTGGGTTGACCTAAACATCACTCAATAAATATGTTGATTCTTTGTTTTCAGGATATCGTGATTAAATAACAGGGGCACGGTAAGTTAACGATTGCAGATTACTTAGCCGTAACCGAGAATATATTAAAATGTGAGTAGATTATTAAGCCTTCTACCTGTATTAACATTCCCAATGTTTTACTCAAATCATACAAAAGAAGAAAGAACAAAAAGATTGGTTCAGAAACCCAAACAAGATAACAATTTAAAATATTATTCCACTGCACAAATGCAAAATCACGTACGTCATCATCAACAAAAACACGCTGAATTGAAAATTTAAAAAAATAATAAAATCAGCAGTAAACCCATGTAAAGTTCTTGATCACTGCATTATAGAAAAAAATCATTCAACAGCATAAGTTCAATTTACTCACCAATAGAGGTGCTCAAGCCACCCAAAAGCGAAAGACCAAGAGCAACTAAAACTTGCGAGTCCATTAAGCCCATCTTCTTCAAAACCCAAACTCCCAAAATTCTCGAGATGATACGTATTTCCTCTTTCTCTCGTCGCCTCTATATATATGTTGAAGAAAGAGTTAGTGGGTTATTAAGATAAACGCTAACAGTGAAAATCTTTCCCTTAAGTGGGTTTATCTCTTAATAAACACTAACAGTCAAAATCTTTCCCTTAAGCGGGTTTATCCGAGAATCAACTGAATTAGAAAAACATCAACGGCACTTGAGAATTAATGGGCTTTTTGGAATTCCACTAAATGTGCTAAATGCGTTGCTGAAATCATAGATATGAGAATTTATATATGCACACTCAACAGGGAAGGGAATATGTACAGTGAAAGAAAGAGATTGTTTAAGGTGCCGAGTTCAAGAAATGCTTAAAAGAATCCTCAACCAAACTGCATTAGCATTTTTTTGTTGTCGCCGGCCACCGAACTTTCTGGGTAAAGAGTAATTTAGTGGCGGAAAAGGGATATATATAAAAAGACCATTTCTTGGAATCGACTCATAAGCAGAGAAAAAAATCCCCGTTCAAGAGAATGCTAGATTCTTTGGTGATATCTCTAGAATTTTAACACGAATCCAATCCTCGACTAATGATCAAGACAATGGAACACTCTTTGGCTGATCATATTATTTTGATTTATTTTACTTTGATCGTTGGACTTATATATTTATTCTAATTCAGTAACTATGATCATTATGGACAATTGGTTAAATATTATTGACAAAATTTGTGACCAGATACTTGATTGATGCCACCAAGCAATATAAAAGGAACTAATTCAATATAATAGAAAAACTAATTCAGGAATCTTACTTTCTTCACATGATGTGCCATCCATTGTGTATGTTGCACTAATAAATTTTGATCATGATTATAGACAGATAGTCAAAATAAAATAAAAATATAAGTTGGGTTATCAAATCAAAACCCCTATTGGAAGGAATTAAAATCTTGATTTTAATTTTAATTTAAGTCAAAGTCAACAATTAATTTTATTCACATATTTTATCGATTTCACAACTCTCCGACAATATACTTAGTCGACTTTTATGAAAATATACTAAAAATCTAATTTTGATCAATCATCATAGACTTAATTTTTTTCTTCAATATTCTTTTAAAATTTTCAAAAAATTTAAAAACGCATTAATAAATAAGTTGGTGAGAAAGTTTTTATGTATTAACTGATATCGCTTTCATGGAAAAATTTGACCTCATGGTCCAGGCAGGTTTCCATGAAGTTCCAATTTCAGTAAATTTCATTCCCAATCACCGAACTTTATGCAGAATTTTAATTGAGCTACTAAACTTTAATTTATCTCAATCGAGTCACTAAGTTTCAGTTTAATTTTAAATTTCACCACTGTTATATTCCATCCCACACAAGCCTCCAAACTACTAGAAATTGCTTCATTGATCCAATTTTTTTTTTCTCAAGTCCTTTGGTTATTGTTCTTGAGAAATGGCCCGGTCTGTTGGTCAAGCAATTAACGTGACTTGTTAGGTACTTTCAGAGCATGCAGGGTTTTGCTCAATTGGTACCAAGATTTAACTTAAATCTCTCATTAGGTAGGAGTCTTATGTTCGAATCATGAGGAGCGCGATGGAAAGTCTTGAGATGATAAGTGAACATATACTTACCCAAAGTAAACAGTACGTAAGCTAATGACTTGGGTATAAAAACTCGAATCGTTACATGGGTAATCAACGAAAGTGCACGATATTGCCACTTATTGCCTCAAACAGAATTAACCATCCAGAGCTCTTCAACGAGAGTAAACCACCGTGCTTTTATTTTCTTGGTAAGGATTATGGCGGATGTGATATGTTGGATGAGTCGAAGGCAGCTTTGGCTAGTTTGGTGTGCAAGAGATGAAACGGTCCAAAGCACTGAGAAAGGGTGTTGGAGGGATTGTGGTGGCATTTCTTAAGGCCTACGAGGGTGGTCAAGATGATGATCTCAAGGCCATTGTGGATGCACCTACTATTGCTCCTATAACTCTTGATCCAGTTATTTTTTGTGAAAGAATAAAGTATTGAGTGAATTTTTTTCAAGTAATTGCTGTACCTTAGGAAATGAATTAAGAGTATTTATCACACTATACCCTCACCCGGAAAAGAACACCTAACCTTGGCGAACAGTCATATAAAGTACAACATAGCCCAAGAGTGTGAATCTTTCAACTAGTAGCAGAGCAAATAATAACATAAGATAGCAGAATCTGGCTGAATAACAGTCATTTGTATGTAAATTAGTTGTTATTCGGATACAGAAAAAAAATAAGTGAATTTTATCGTTGAATTACTGCAACAACTCAAGAATTGAACCCAAATGCTTTTCTCTGAAATAACAGCCTGTCATAAATTCTATAGAATCCACTAAACGTCTCTTCCCTAAGCACTATTCATCACTTGATCGAGGCTAAAGCATCAGGATGACGCATAACCACACACATCTGGGTGCCTTATATTGCAGCATCACACAACCAGTCGTGACACTAATACACAGTTGCAAGTTTCATACAATCAGAACCAAGCTCAATGACTGTCTTAAAATTCATTTCTTTATCACATCTCGTTTCCTCGAGGAACATCCCATCTTTTATTCTGTTAATCTCCATATTAATCAACTAGCTATCCAGTTCAATAAAACATTCTATTTCTAACGCAAACACACAAAACTCTGATGTCTACAAACAAGGCAGTCAATCAACGGGTACAGGTACAACAACTCCCTCAGTCCAACCTTGTTTGCACATATAAGAAAGATCTACTACTATTGACACCTAGAAATGATTTCATATAATTCCAACATTACCCTTCTTAAATCAAAATGCATAAAAACATTTACCAAGATAAGAACAGATAGATCTACACAAAACACGACTGCGCACTGAAGCTAATTAAAGATTTTTTGGCCAAGGTCCCATGCTAGTCTCGTTAGATGGATACATCATATGTTCTACGTGTTTTAGAATAATTCCACATAAGTACAGGCATGGCAATCACTTTCTATTCTTTATGCATACATTTTTGGTCACTTAAAGGCAACTAATCAAAGTGGAAGTGTGATCAATATCTAAGTGCAGTAGAAGCATCCGAAAAAATAGAAAACTGTGACAAACAACAGGGGAGAAAGTACTAGAGGATACTGTGTATCACAATACATGAGCTACAGTGCAGATATATTTTCCTTGATGTCTTATGAAATTGAATAAATCTTATTTCCACATAAATGCAATATAAATAATTTCAAATAAAGTGCCTTATAAATACAGTTATTATTACTAATCTGAGTTAGCAACAATAAGAAAGGAACTGCACGGACAAAGCATTATACTCACAACGCTAAATAGTCAAAGCCAATTGTAGTATTGATGCAAACCAAGTTAAGGAGTTTACTCCTTGAAGGGAGTTTTTACTTAAATCTAACCCGTACTTCTAAAGGTCATCCTTGCCCTTTTCCACTACTCGGCCATATGAGAAATTAAGAATCTCTCCAAAATTGGGTAGCAACCCAAGTTAGTATCAGCTAAGGTATGGCATAAGTTGAGTGCAGTATGCCACAAGGCTAACAATATTATCAAACAAACCAGAGGCACTTCTCCAATTCACCTCACAAGAGGCCAAAAGAAGTATACATGCCTAGCTATTAGCGTACCAAAGTAAGCACAATTAACAAAAACATGTGTAACAATCATATGGTAGGAGTACACTGAATATCTACTGAGAGTAGAAACGATGGATAAATACACCATTTATTCATTGCTACCCATAAATAATTCATCAAAAACCCCATTCATTGTCAGGGCACCAATTATAATCCAATCAACACTATCAAAATTCGTTCTACAACAACAAATAATAAATTACCTAATTCAACTCAATGAATCATCATACTTTCCTCAGTCTATTTGAAATCTGTACTAAATTTGATTCTCATGTAAATGTAAAGCACAAAAATTTTTGAGAGCCCAAAAGAATTGTTTACCACCATAAACTGATTATCCTGCAACTAAACAGTTGTTCCATCAGCATTAGTGGCAGGTTTAGCATTGTACAAAGCCTCCTCTCTTCTTTTCTCCTCTTCAATTAGCGTCTTTTTATTCTTCTCGATTGCTGCTGCCACTTCAGCCGGCATGTACTTCTCATCGTGCTTGGCCAAAACCTCTGTGGCCGCGAAATAGCATTCCAAACTCCTTGCCTTCTCCATAATTCCCAATTTATTGCTATTCCTCAATATGCCCTCCTCCTTTTTCCTAATTTCCTCATCAAACGGTTTAATAAACCCCTCCACCACAACCGAATGACCCTCCCGGAAAAGATCCGGCAAACTGCCTTCGTATTTGACCAAAATATCCGTGATCAAATCCGTAATTACGAATTGGGTTTCTGGGGACGAGGGCAATTGAGCAACACTGCTTTCCAGTACTAACCCGCCAAGCCGGAATTTCGACTTGCTAGGATCAGAACTGTATTTTAGCAGGGCGTCCGTGGGGGTGATGTAGAAGACTAGTTGATCTTGAAATTGATTGAGAACTATAACTATAAATCCGGCAATGCAACTGAATGTGAGGGCGTAGGCCCAGAGGCGGCGGTTCTGGAGCTGGCGGGCTCGGGCTCCGATGTCTGGCTTGTTCGTTCGGGTCGGGCGGATGGGGCGGGTGGATAGGAAGCGGAGGTTGAAAGGGCGGGAGGGTCGTCGGAAGTGGGTTAGGATATGCCGTTCGTGGGGTTTGAAGAGGGAATATAAGGGGTGGGGGTTAGAGAGGACGGTGGTTGAGGTGGTGGTGAAGTGGTGGCGGAGAAGGGAAAGGGGGTGATGGCGGCGGAGGAGGAGGTAGGAGGTGAATCTGGACGCCATTGGAAAATTGAACAATTTTTCCGTGGAAAGTTGTGGAAAATGGAGTCAAATGTTTCATTAGGAATTGAACATTGGGTCCTGTCACGATTTATTCACCGAACTTTCAAAATTATCTCGGTGGCCATTGAACTTCACTCCGTTCAACTTCATCACTCACCCATTTTAAACCGTTAACAGACGCGTCTACGTGAATGATGGAAAAATGACTTGGCCAGTTAAATCCTTCCAAATAAGTTCTCATTCGCCTACTCATTAGCCAAATAAGNATAAGTCCTAACATCCACATCCATAAATTAAAACAAGGACAATTCTACTTGTACATCAAAGTTTGTATATCAAGGGATACATCTCTCTCACATGAGAGGTGAGACCCATTGAAATAATATTTTTTTAGTCGAGTTGACCCCACCCCCCATGTGAGAGAAGTGTAAGCCCCAATGTAAATCTTGATGTACCACTAGCATGGTCCTTTTTGGAAACACGACTCCGATAAATCTTATATGCCAAACCCAATTTGGAAAGTTTCCCCAAACCCAAGCCGTGAGGTGTGAAGCCATCTCCCTCAAGAACCCTAAATCAAAGAATTGTTCCAATCGGTGAGAAGACCGCGGGGGAAATTCCCAAACTCGATCGGAATCTCCATACCTTTGTCAAAATTATCGGATCGGTGTAAGTATTTTGTCCCAGAGTTGAGTTTTTGGCTTCAATGAACTGTGTTTTCAAATTTTTTTTTTAGCGAGTTTTGTTTTTGCTTTTGAAATCTGTTGCATTCATATATGCTGCCTTTTTATTTTGAAATATGTTGGTAAAGAAGTGAAGAATTTCAAACAATGTACAAGATTCCTTCCATTGCAGTTTTCGTGTGTGGCTAGAAGTCTTGAATTCCTTCCATTGCAGTTTCTGTGTGTGTGTAGCAGGATTGGTGTAAAAATCTTGTAATATTCAGAAGAGGTACGTGTTGGTTATAGCCTCTGATAGTTTTAATTGTCAGAAATGTAAATTATTGGGATACATGGATTGATAACTTTTCTTACTTCTTTATCGCATATCATCACAAAATTACTTTAAACAAAATCACTTCTCAAAAAATGAACATCATAGAAAGGCTTAGCGTGATTTGGAGTGGATCCTTATATCTTGTTACTTAACTGTCATTTGTATAAGTTCCCATATTTCTGTAAGTATAAATTTTCATTCCTGATTTTATTTTCCTTTTTTGGCCGCGTCAGCAGATTATAACGGGGAGAAAGAACAAAGGGATTTATTATGGTTGCCGGAAGTCGGGCCACTACTTATTGGATTGTCCGACGAATTTATCGTGCCCAGTATGCTGCAAGGGAATTCAGAATTGCATGGAGGTTGAAAAGAGGACTAAAAACTTACGTTGGTTATTCTTCTGTTGTACTAACAATTGCACTCATTTCAAGTGGCTCGACGAAGACGAATATTATCAATATGATGGTCAATCAAGTGCTACATCGGAAGTTCACGAGTTGTCGGGTTTGTTAAAGCACGTTGCTAAAATAACCGAAGAAATGATATTGATATCTCTGTCAAGTTTAGTTTTCGTAAGGGAAAAGGGGAGAATGGAGAACGGGAAACAAAATGGAGGAGATTTGTGAAACTAAACCATTTACGTTATTTTCTAGTTTGTGTAGTTCACTAGTTGTATGTTTATGTTTGTAACTTCAATGTTTTCAGAATCAAGTAGTTGTTAAATCTGTTATCAATGTCGTTACTGTATTGCCTTTATTTTATTTACTTATGATGATGACAATGTCTTGCCTTAGGAGATAAAACGACCAGGTTGAATTATTGATGGAAAATTGAAGTGAGATTTCATTATATTCTTTGTTGTCTTGTTTTTATCACAATGGTTATAGAATTGTGTACAAAGAATTAAGCACATAAGATCTGGCCAGACATCAGAAATAATGCAGAACATGCTGAAAAAAATACAAAAGTGAAACTTATCGATGAAATGATAGCTTTAAACAATAAGAACACTATTTTGCACTATAATAATTTCAAGCAAGCAAATGTCAAAATACATTTCCAAGCTGTCATTTAGAACAATATGTATACAACTTACATATCTAAATCCTTTACATTGGACAAAATAATATTTCAATACCATTTTCCAAAAAAAAATAGTATTGTGTGGCTTTTGCACATGTGGGAACACGTCTGTCAACAAAAAACAACAGACTAGAAGTCAAAAAGGCTAGTAACTCCCACAACAGACTAGAAGTCAACAATGTCAGCAACTCTCATTTTTTAGCATATGTACAAAAAAAGCTAACCTAACTTCAAACATCATTTTTTGTTTTCCTGCCCTTGAAGCAATTACAAAGGCAGCTTCGCATCTCTGTTATCATTCAAGTCGTCCACAACATCGTCAAAGTTCGCATCATCGGTTGGAACTTCAAGAAGAACCGACTGCATGCATGTTGTTGATGATGGACCAAATTTCAGATTGCTGGATCGCGCTTCACGAGATACCATCGGGGTTGGAATGAAATGGAAAGTCTATTCGTTCTTGGGGTTGTGGTCCTTCGATGCTCGCTATCCCCTTTCTGGCAACATTTTACCCTGCACGATAGAATCACATTTTCATTTTAGAAGCAATGCACCTTCAAGATTCAAGAGCAAAGAGTGATAGAATTAGCTACGAGACAATTGTGAGACTTTTGGCAAGCTTCAGAGCTAGAATTTTAGAGGTAAAGTTAAAACAATAGCATCATAATATAGAAAGAACTTTTATGCTCTTTTCTGGTGTTTGAATACATGAATATCCTGTTATTAAATGCGAATTTATGGGATTCAATACCTCCATCAAACCTAGTGGATAATTAATATTTAACATTTTGGGAACACTTGATCAACAGTTATTATGACTAGAAAAGTTCTATTCCTTGTCAGGAGTAACATAATTGCATTACTAGGTTCACATGATGTACTCAATCAAACATTTACTCACACGTTCATCAACCACTCTGTTGCAATGTGTGCCAAATGCTTCAAATGTCCTTCATACCAATCATGTTGACCCAAAAAAATGTAATAGTACATGAATCGATTTATAAAATCAACGAAAGCAAAATTGTACTCACAAAATCTGGTGCATCTGACCTAGAGTGGTATCGCTTGTTGTGACACTGCTGTCCGCATAATGTATATGTCGTATTCAATTTCCCCTTTATCCGAATATAAGTCCTCTATTGTGAATGTACTATCAAATCTTCATATGCTCTTTTTCTCCGATTTATCTGCCTCCTGCCCTTTCGTGGTTGTAACGACCCGGGTCCCACTTAACGGGCTGTCCTGGCCGTTAGATAGACGACGTACTGTCCTCACTGTACCAACATGGGTCTTTTCAGTATACTTTGTCCTCACTCGCACGCTCCCCGAGAAAACTTCCCAGGGGGGTCACCCATCATAGAATTGCTCCAAGTCAAGCACGCTTAACTATGGAGTTTTCAACGATGAACTTCCGGAAAAGAAGGTGCACCTTGTGATATGAGTAGTACCTATCAAATCTCTTAAATTTTCTTGGTCTGGGGTATTACA